GTGGCTTGTTACCTCATTTTCTACATGTCTTGCTTCCTCAGTAGCTGGCTGCTGTCTCCCAGACTCTGCCCTTCTTCTGTATCTCTGCTTGGATTTTCCATCTGGCTCTATCCTGTTTTGCCATAGGCCAAAGCAGCTTTATTTATCAACCAATGAGAGCAACACATATTCACAGTGTACAGAAAGACATCCCACAGCACAAAGTAATAATAGTAAAAGGTTTCTGAACAAAGAGTAACCAAAAACTAATTCAAAACCAGACATAATGAAGTTTTAAAAAATCAGATGTGACGAATCAGAGGCATTTGTGGCAGCGTTTGACGGTGTTGCGTGGTGAGTTCACTGCAGCCTTGGTTGTGGCTACACCGTCACACTGCTCATTAGCGCAGACACTGAAGAACCTCAGCTCAGATTTGACACATTGTTCTCTTAAGAATTGCAGTGCTTTTTCTTACAAAAGCATAATGGCTTAATTATAGAAAGCAAAGACTTCGTATTTTCCTACTATTGTTCTTCCATATGTAAGTATCAAATATGTAGATTTTTAATTATATTGTGTCCAAATGCTTGATTTTTTTACATTTGTCTCTCACCCAACTCCACCCCACCCTGGATGTGTGTGTGTGTGTAATAATGTGGTCAGAAGGCAACTTACAGGAACTGACTTTTCTCTCGCTGTGTGAGTTCTGGGGTTCAAACTCGGGTTGTCAGTCCTGATGGCAGAGGCCTTTACTCAATGAACAATCTCAGCAGTCCAAGAATGATTATAATAATTTCTGTTTGAGTGGCTGACTTGGGTTTCATAAGAAGGCCATAAAATATTTCAGTTTTGGATTAGGACAGAATTCCCAAGAATTTCTGAAATGGCTCAAAATATATTCCTACCATTATGTACTCTGTATTGATGCAAAGCAGCCTTCTGAGCATGCGTGCCTGCTTTGAGAGTTTGTGTGGGAGTCTGAGGATATGTCTGTGAGCCACATGCATTCAGGAGCCTAAAGAGCCCAGCAGAGGGCATCAGGTCTCCTGAGCCACTGTGTGGGTGCTGGGAACTGAACCCAGGGTCTTTGCAGGAGCAGCCAGTGATCTTAAATGCTGAGCCATCACTCCAGTTCTCCGCGTTGATAATCATAAAACCAACAAATAATATGTCAAATCTTAGAGATGTTGGAGAAGCTCTTAGTCCTGCCATATCAAACATCCAGCCAAGGTTTATTTTGATATGTAAAAATATTCTTGGATTAGTGTAGAAATTTCCCTTTATCTTTATTAAATAGTAAAATCATATGAATACCAAGAATTGCTTTAAAATAAGTCTTTTTATTTTTTGAAATAGAGACTTATATAGCTCTGGTTCGTCTCAAAGTCACAGTGTAGCTGAAGCTAGATTTTTAACTCCTGATCCTCCTGTCTCTACTTCCCAAATGCTAGGGTTACAGGTTGGTGCCACCACATCTGGCTTAAAATAAATTTCTTTTTGATTTATTATTAGTAAACCTTTCTTTTGTATACCTATATAATCAGGCATAGGATTTTCTCAGTTAAAAGAGGGATATGAGGGGAGAGAATGTAGGAAGTGTTAGTTTAAGGTTGTAGCTCAGTTGTTAGAGTGCTTGTCTAGCACGTACAAAACCCTGGATTCGGTCCCTGACACTACACGAATTTGGCAGAGGGGATCACACCTGTGACGACCCTTAGTGGGAGGAGCAGCAGGACCGGAAGTTCAAGGTCATCCTTAACCGCATAGAAAGTTCTTGACACCAGTCTAGGTTGTATCGGACTTTGTCTCAAAAATGTGTATTTTAAAGACAAAGAAAGACCTTCAGAAAAGCAACTGAAATCCCGTGCGCTTGGGGAGTATGTTTTCTGGGATCTGTGCTCATTCTTTCTTTACAGCTTTGTTAGTCACGGTTAAAACCACCGGCCACCAGGGGGCGCTGCTCCCAGGCGGTTACCTGAAGCATCTCATACCACCTGGCAACTCTTATCAACAAACTGGCTGCCTGGTAACCTAGGGCCAAAGGGACAATTGGAGACCTAGACCTGGGGTCTCCTGCCCCAACTGCTGCCTGTCTCCCTTCCTAGGTTTGACCCAGCGATTGCAGGTCTTTCCAAAGGAAGTAGACCGTTCCTTGAAGGTTGGAAGCTAATTTCAAATGTCTCAGCAGGTTTGTTTTTGGTTTTTGTTTGTTGGTTTTTTGAGACAGGATTTCTGTGTACCCTTGGCTGTCCTGGAATTCGCTCTGTAGACCAGGCTAGCCTTGAACTCAGATCTGCCTCCCTCTGTCTCCTGAGTGTTGGGATTAGACTTACGCCACCGCGGCCGGCAATGCCTCAACTCTTTTGAAGCAGCCTTGACATTTCATCACCTTGGCTACTTAAATCAGAGCTGAAAATATTTTCTTCTTGAGGCTTACAGGTCAGCTATTAATGTGACCATCCTCATTGTTGTCTCAGACTTAATCCCTCATGTAAGAAAGATATTCTAAGGAAAATCAATTAGTAAAAACTACTTGGTAATAGCTAATGGTTATTGAACAGCTGTGCTCCAGTCCCACAGCATACCCAAGTCTTCAGGTAAACTCAGATAGGTTAACTGTGATCACGCCTATTTGCCAGACCAGAAACCTTGAGACCAATCTGCCTCACTATTCAGTGAATTTAGCCACAAGAATGCACTGCTTTCAGGTCCAGAAAGAGAAGCCGTTCCCCAGTGACCTAAACCGTAGATCCAGCACAGCGTCTCAAATTAGGGAGGACATGTAAACTTCCCTAGGATGCCGCTGAGTTGCACCGTGAATGCCATGTGGGATGCTTGGCTGAACAGGGAAGGTGACCTCAGGACACTCCCGTGCCACAGAGGAGCGGGTGTTTACTGAAGATGGCAGCAATGTGTCTCCCTCAACGGCATCACAGTCAAGAGGGAGCCAAGAGCTTGGCTCAGTGGCCTCCCAGGGGTGGGTCGGGTTCATACCTTCACAGGTATTTCTAAATTTAGTATTACAATGTTTAAGGCGGGCATGGTTGCACACGCCTTTAATCCCAACACTTGGGAGGCAGAGGTAGGTAGATCTCTGTGAGTTAAAGGACAGGCAAGGCTATTACACAGAGAAACTCTAAAAAAAAAAAAAGGCTTTTTATGACAGTGAGACACGTCTGCTCTTGGCAGCACTAATTTACTTCAAAAAAGGNAAAAAAACAAATAGCAACAACAACAAAAGAAAACCAAAATTAAACAAAATAAGATTACAATGTTTAGCACGACATATTTCCAAACATAGAGACATTAACTAAGGGGCCACCTCAATCCCATGAGAGTGGATCGGCTGTTGACGCCCCCAACTCCAACGCCCCCTGTCCCCTCCCCCCCATGTGCTTCATCTTACACTTTTGTTTCATTTATCTTTATTTACTTATTTTAATTATATCTATTTGGGTTTCATGTACATATGCCACAGCATGAGTAAGGAGTCAGAGAACAGCTTCCAGGAGTCACTTCTCCCCTTCAGCTGGTGTTTGAGGAAAGTGATGCGGCACTTTCCAGGCCTGCAAGCTTCTAGACAATTCTGTTTCTGCCGCCTTTCATGCTGCAGGGGTGATGAGATTACAGACGTGAGCCCCGACAGCCAGTGTTTTTATGTGGGTTCCAGGCATAGGTCAGACTCAGGCCTGAGTGCCTGGTGCCCACTGAGCCGCCTACCCAGCCTATCTGGTTTTTGAGGCATGGTCTCATTATGTAGCCATCTGGCCTCAAATTCACAGTTCTCCTGTCTCGGCTTGCTGAATGCTGGGAGTCTGTGCGCCATTATGCCCCATTCACTCTCTACCTCCCTAAGAAGGCAAAATATTAGAAAATGAAGATAAGGTCCACCTATCCCTTCCCTGTCTTGTCCCCAAAGACAAGAATGCCCATGCTTTCATACCTAGGCAGATGTTTGGGTAGTTTGTTTTTTTAATTGTGGCGTGATATGAAGGACAAATCTTAATCATATGGACTGATGGATTTTTATATAAATAAAAATTTGTATATATTTATACATATATATCTCCAAAATAAAATACATAACATGTCCAGCCCATTCAAGGACTCCTTTGTCTCACAACTTTTTAAAAATAAGCAGATGAAGTTACCAATGTTTTGAAGGTTTTAAAAATCTAAGATTTAATGTAAACATCCAACTTTCTGATTTATTTTGAAATTTTAGGAACTACGGCCACATGGCCTGTTGCACTCTACCCCTGCCGTCTCCCCGCAGCTGTAGAAGCTGGGGGACGCTACCGTATTTCAATCCTTAGAAAGCACAACAGATATGAAAAGATAGTCTGAGAAAAAAATGTCCTCTTTCCAGCCAGCGAGGTGGCTTAGAACTGCTGGCCAGGCCACACTGTGACCACAGTCCCCAGGTCCCTGACGTTCAGCCCCTGACGCTCAGCATGCCATGCCCACGCCAGCAACATCAGCAGCCTCCACAGCCTGTTAGGAACACAGTTCAGCCCCTCCCAGCCTCACTACAGCCTGAAGTCTGAGACTCTGGGAATCTCGCAGGTCCAGAAACTGAGAGTCCCCTCTAAGGCTTTTCCTTGAGAGCACGCCACTCAGGTTATAAATAGCTAGCCTCTTCCCGACCCTTCTCATGTGATCATCCTTCCTCTGAATCTCTCTCCCCACGTCTTTCCCTTCATTTAAGAAACGTTTATGAATTTTTTGAAGGACTCATGGACATGTCCCATGTGCAGGTGGAGGTCAGAAGACAACTTGTAGATGTCGGTCCTCTTCTTCCTCACTGTGGGTCTTGGGTGTCGAACTCAGGTGGTCAGACGTGGCAGCAAGTACCCTTACCCACTGAGCAGCTGCCTCACTGACCTGCTTTTTCTTCTCTTTTTATTATTATTTTATAGATTTATTTTCATGTGGTGTTTTGCCTTCATGTATGTCTGTATGAGGGCCCCAGATTCCCTGGAACTGGAGTTACAGGCAGCTGTGAGCTGTAATGCGGGTGCTGGGAATTGAACCCAGGTCCCCTGGAAGAGCAGTCTGTGCTCCTAACTGCTGAGCCATCTCACCAGCCTCTCTTTTTACTGGTTTTTAAAAGGTATGTCTGGGTAATAACCATGGTGTTCTATAGGTATAGACAGCTATACCAAGCTCCCAGTCCTCTTAAAAGGACACAAACCTTATTGGATTATATCCATGCACATATGATCCCTTTTAACCTTAATTGCTGCTTTACAGACCCCGATTCAGGCTGGAGGTGTAGCTTTGTCGGTAGAGTCCTTGCCTAGCATGAAAGAAGCTATGGGTTTGATTCCTAAGCACGGTGACAAATGCTGTCCTAGCACTTTGGAGATGGAGATAGGAGGATTGGGTTCAGGGACTTCGTCAGTTATATGGTGAGTTTGAAGCTAGCCTAGGATACATAAGACACACAGCCACACACACACGCACACACACACACGAAAAGAAAAGAGAAGAAAAGGAAAGGAAAGAAAATGACTAAATGTTTCCAAACTAGTCACATTCTGAGGTACTGGAGGCTAGATATTTTGATTTCTGAATTTTGATTAAATATAGTTTGGCCAATAACACCTACTAAATTAGAATTTAATTCTAATGAAATCACCAAAGCGCTTGTGTGTACATTACTATTGGGAAGGGAGGCCTGGGTGGACCTTCTCCCTGTGGTAGGCTGGCTTCCTTTGGGGGAGGTTGGAAAGGAGAATAAGGCAGTGATTATTCTGTGTGTTTCCTCCCGGCCCAGAGTGGAACTGGTAGAGTGGGATGCTATGGAACCGAAGCCAGTGTCCCTTAAAGGTGAGTCCCTGGCCAGGTGCCCTTGAAGGTGAGTTGTTAGCTCTTACTGAGGAGCAGGGACACTGCACTTTGGGGGATGTTGGCATTGGCAGGATGGAGAACAAGCTGATTATAAGCATCTGGTTCCTCTTCTGAAAATGAGCTGCCCTGGGGTGTGGTTGCCCTTAGCAACCAGGTCCTTACACCTGCTCACCGCCTGCAGGCTGCCTCTAGACAGATGCAAGGCAAAGTTCTGGGGATTTCTAGAAGAGAGACCAGGAAGACACCACAGTGCATACTCTCTCTGTACAATCTCATTAAGCACCTCTGCCTTGGGCATGATGATATGGTGATGGACATAGAGATACACGTACACATGGATGAAGCTAATCCCCAGGGAGGGGAGCAGAGAAAAATGTAGAGCTCAACAAAAATCAATTTAAAAAAAAAGATATAAGAGCTAGCTAGAAATATGCATAAGCTAATAGGCCAAGCAGCATTTTAATTAATACAGTTTCTGTGTGGTCATTTGATGACAGAAGTTACACAATAATCCCACACTAGTTCAGAATTACGCATAATTATTTATTTGGGGGAGACTTGCAGATCACTGTCCTAGATCACAGTCCTCTGCATGAACAGGGAACAGGAACTGAGTCTAGCAGCTGGGAGCATGAGCCAGAAGCAACAGAAGGAGCGCATGATTTATAGTATAAGAGACCACACACAAGTGGGCTGGTATCTTAAAGGCTATTGGCCAAAGGAGCTCCCACAACAGTTATTTCGGGTCTGGGTGGCCAGAAATGAGCAAACAGCCTCCTTCAACAAACTGTCTCACTGGGTATATTTTGAAACTTCAAAGCCCAGCTCCACAGTGACACACTTCCTCCACCAAGGCCATACCCACTCCAACAAAGCCACACGTCCTAATAGTGCCACTCCCTTTGGAGACCATTTTCTTTCAAATGGCAGAAGGTTCATACTTGTGTGCCTTTTCTTCTAAGGAACTCATCCTGAAATTTGAATATGCTAGAATTTGGGGGAGCTTGTGCAAACACAGATTTTGGGCAAGGAAAATGGCTCAGCAGGTAAAGATGCTTGTCACCAAGCCTGATGACCCGAGTTTCATGCCCACATAATAAAAAGAGATAATGGTCCCCTCTGCATTGTCATCTGCCCTCCCCCACACACATTCATACACACACACACACACACACACACACACACACGACATAAGGAAAGAAAACCATAGACTTAGTGCTCCCACCACAAGCTTCTGTTTTAGACAGTTTGGGTCATAGTGCTGCTGGTATTGCTGGTCTAAGATCACACGTAGAGAGCCTTGGTCCAGCTTGCATGGGAGAGAGGCTCCCAGGGACTCACTTAGAGCAGAAAGCATCTGCAACAGCTACAAACTAAGGGGAAATGTCAGGGAGGGAGAAAGTCCCCAGGCTGGAAACCCCCAAATATGTGTGCAAATTCTCCTCAAATCCTTGACCAACCCTGAACAATACATTTGTGAGATTCACAGAAGTCTAACCAGAAACAAGACAAGAAACCAGAATAAGCAGAAATTTCAGTGTTGTCTATTACAGGGAAGAGAAGTTGGAAGTTGGAAGTCTTACCAAGAACTTTTTGCTGGAAACAGGCAAGGACTACGCTTTAAGAGAAAAGACAGCCAGGACTGGAGAGATGGCTTGGTGGTTAAAAGCCTTAGCGTTCTTCCTAAGGAGCCAGGTTTAATTCCCAGCATCCACATAGCAGCTCACAACCATCTGTAACTCTAGTCCTGGAGGATCCAAAGTCCTCTTCTGGCTTCTTCAGGCACTGCATGCACAGAGCACATAGACATACATTTGGGCAAAACACCATACACTTAATTTCTTTTTTAATTTAATAGATCCATCCTAAAAAAACAAAACAAACAAAAAAACCTTGATGAACATACTATGATGTCTCAATGATGAGTTGTACCATAACTGCTGTCTACAACAAAATGTTCCTTGGGCTGATGAGATATTTCAGCTGGTAAAGGCACCACCAATCCTGACTTCCTGAGTTTGATCCCTGGAGCCCGACAGAGATGGACAGAGAGAAGCAACTCCTGGAAGATGTCCTCTAACCTCTGCATACATGGACTCTTTAGTATGAGCCCTGCCCCCACAGAAACAGGCACAATGTAAGAAATGGAAAAACAGTTTAGAAAAAGGAAATGTTGCTGGGCGATGGTGGTGCATGCTTTTAATCCTAGCACATGAGAGACAGAGGCAGGCAGATCTCTGTGAGTTCAAGACCAGCCTGGTCTACAAGAGCTAGTTCCAGGACAGCCAGGGCTACACAAAGAAACCCTGTTTGAAAAACAAAACCAAGGGAAATGTTCTTCAGTGAACCACAATACAACCCAGTGTCTACAGCATGTCACTCACAATGTCTGGTCACCAAAAATGCTAGATAAATCACCAAGCAAGGTGACTCATGCCTGTAACTGGTTCATTCCAGAGGCTAAAGCAGAAAAGATTTGTAAGTGAAGGCTAGCCAGGCTACACAGCAAGATTTTGTCTTATGTCATGCCTCACAATTAGACCTGTGAAGAAAAAGAAAACTATGAAACCATGATAAAGTGACAGGGAAGACTCGTCAGTGGAGCAGCTGAGACGCCAGGGTCAACAAGCCATTGGGAAAGATTGGTGGGAGAAGTTTGAGAGAGATCTACAAACTATTTTGTTTCGTCAGGTTTTGTTTGTTTGAGACAAGGTTTCTCTGTGTAGTAGTCCTGGCTGTCCTGGAACTCAGTCTGTAGACCAGGCTGGCCACAAACTTGAGGATGGCATCACCCACATTGGGCTGGGCCCTCCTCCATCTATCACTAAAAAAAATGCTCTGAAGGCTTGCCTACAGCCTGATCTCACGGAGGCATTTTCCCAGTTGAGGTTCCTGTGTCCAGATGACTCTATAGACTGTGTCAAATTGACACAAAACTAGTCAGCACACACTGGGACCAGGAGCCCATGTGTCATAAGAGACCTGGCTGTGCTCTAGCTTCATAGTTTGTTCTTCCCACAACCCCAGGTAAAAGTCCTAAGGAAGGGGTCTCATTTGCCCCATGGGAGTCACAATCTCCGTCAGCCAGCCACTGTGGTTATCTAGGTTACACTATGGTAAAGGTGTATCAGTGGCCCGGATCGGATGGCCGACCCCAGCGATCATTGTGATCAGGGAGGCAGTCCTCACTGAGGGACACAGTTCTGCAGGAACAGCAGTGGGGTTAAGTGTGAGGAGCGTTGTGAGTGGTGCGGATCCTTCAGCTGTGCTTGCTGTACCGTTACAAGTTGGGCCTGGCTCCTCCTCCTCAGGGCAGCCATGTCAGTGATGTGGATGACTTTGTGGTAACTTAACGTAAAGCAGCATGGTAAGGACATGGGGGAGCAGGGAGGGAAATGAGAAAGCCCGAGAGGTTGGGCTGATGAGGGGTTAGAACTTTGGGTAACTGGACCACCATCCCACTGGGACTCTCAAAGATGGTTTAGAACATGCAGGCTTCAGAACTGTCCTACCGAGGGACAAGGAAGTTGGGAAATGTATTCACCAGCTCCAGTCCCTCACTTGTGGATGTCTAGGTGCCATGTATTTCAGAGAAAATTCCCAAACAAGGACTTGCATTGTTTCTGGGCCACATGGGTGCTGGGAACAGAGGGCAGGCCTTCTGCAAGAGTAGTGGTCGTAAGGGCTGAGCCATCTCTCCAGCCCCACAGCCCGCTCTGTGGAAGGAAATTCCATAGCTCACCAGGGTTGCAGGCCTCTGGAATGAGCTAAGGGGAAAAGGGCAATGTCAGACACTCATCTGATGAATCTCTTTCTATAAACAGGACTCTGTTGCACATTGTTTCTTAAAGACTTGGCGTTCACAACTGAACATATCTGAACTGTGCTAAGTACAAACAATAATAGTCAACCTGAATGTGTTATCGTCCCAAATGCGGGCACATTGGGCACCTCAGGCTGATGTGCCCACTGCCGCCTAGTCCTACAAGAGCTGGTCTGGATGTCCTCTTCACGAAGGCACTTGCTTACTGCTGTAGCCCTGAGATGTGGCTGCCAGGAGAGCTAGTGTGTATTGATGTAGTATTTTCTTCAAGTGACCTTAGGTAACTACCATCACTGAAAAATGAGACTTTCAAGAAGAAAAGTTGTCAGGAGGACTTTGGGGGTGGGCGTGTGGTGTTGCAAGGCAGCATTTCTCTGTGTAGCCCTGGACAGTCCTGCAACTCACTCTGTAGACCAGGCTAGCCTTGAACTCAGAGATCCGCCTGCCTCTGCCTCCCGAATGCTGGGATTAAAGACGGGCACCACTACCGGCCTGGCAGGAGGATATTTTTAAATACTTTGAAAAGAATGTCGTAGTGATGGTCAAATGGTGAGGATTACCTGATGCCTGGTTCTTGCAGGGCCGTGCTGACCTGTGACCACACAGCAAGTGTCAGCCCCCGACTCAGCTGTGGGGTCAGCACGTCAGAGCTGAGGTCCAGTCTTCATACTGCGGTTTCCAGTCCTAGGGTTCCTGTCAGACTCTGAGCACTGAGATCCAGAATTAGCGTCCAGCTCTTCAGGCCATCGGAAATCCTGCTCTGACCATGTCACCAGAGAGAAGAAATGCCGCAAGAAGCTGCTCTCAGCCTTAGCGTTTCTTTTTCTTAAGTGAATTCAATGTAAAATTGAATGTTTCCACTATTTTTGTTGTTGTTGTTTTTTGTTTTTTGAGACAGAGTTTTTCTGTAGTTTTTGAGCCTGTCCTGGAACTCAATTTGAACACCAGGCTGGCCTTGAACTCAAAGAGATCCGCCTGCCTCTGCCTCCCAAGTACTGCTGGGATTAAAGGCGTGCTCCACCACCACCTGGCTCCACTAAAATTTTTATAAACCTGAACAGGCTGAAATTATACTTCAGAACTGACATTCGGTTATGTTAACTTAATATACTAAAGCTCTGGAACAAAATCCAGACCTAAGTCTGGACTCTATATAATAAAGTAGTGATTGGACCCGGTTGTGGTGGTGAATTACTTTAACCCCAGCACTCAGAAGGCAGAGGCAGGCGGATCTCTGTTTGTTGCCAGCCTGTTGACATAGCAAGTTCTTGGACATTCAGGGTTACATCGAACCAAAAACACTAAACAAGCAAACATAAATAAATAAATAAATAAATAAATAAATAAATAAATAATTAGGAATTGGGCTCAGAAGATGTCTGAGTAGGTAAAAGGGCTTGTCACCCAAGTTCAACCCCTAGAACCCATAAAGCAAGGGAAGGACTGACTCCTGGAAGCTATCCTCTGACCGCCACACATCCTCATATTCACATAGACACAATAAATAAATAAAAATTTAAAATATACTAAAAATTCAAATGCATGCCGGGCGGTGGTGGCGCACGCCTTTAATCCCAGCACTCGGGAGGCAGAGGCAGGCGGATCTCTGTGAGTTTGAAGCCAACCTGGTCTACAAGGGCTAGTTCCAGGACAGGCTCCAAAGCTATAGAGAAACCCTGTCTCAAAAAACAAAAAAAAAAAACTTCAAATGCATAATATATGATACATTAAAACTAAAATGTCAGGGATTTAACTCAGTGGCAGATCACTTGCATAGCATATGCAAGACTCCTAACCACACTCCTGTGCACATGGGTACACGCTCACATGCATGCACATTTGCACATACACAGAGACAGACTGCCTGCTTTGTTTTCTTGTTGTTTGTTTTCTTTCTTTGATGTCCCAGGCTGGTCTCAAACTCTTTGATCCTCCCACCTCAGCCCCAAAGTGAGGATGGGATTATAGGCTTGCAACACCACACCTAAAAGATACCTGATTCTTTCTCTCAAATGGCGTCACAGAATATCTCATAAGGCTCTAAGATATCTGAGGCTGTACTTTGCTAGACAATGGAAGTCAGTGAGGCCGAGAAGCCCTTCCCTGACCTCACACAGTGGAACAGACTTAGAAGGGGGGGGGGGCAGTTGCTAGATACAACTTCAGAGAGAAAAGGAGAAAAGTCTTTCTGCTTTTTCAAACTTCTGGGAAAGTTTCATCGCCAAATTCCAGAGGACTGCAAAGCAAATCACTTGTAGATTTATTTGCAAGGACTCTGTGGGAAGCAAGTTGTGAGATGTGGGACACTGGAGCAAAACATGCTGATGGATTCCCGACAGTGATGTGAGCAGAACGGCCCTCTGCAGCCACCAGCTCTGGTTTCTGTGCTCATTAAGGCTCATTATTGTCCCCACTGGCTTTCTGTTTCCATTGATGATAAATGATTTAAAACCATGAATATTTCAAACGCTTCACAGTACAAAGAACAGTGCAGGAGAGTAACCCTGTAATGCACACATACATATATACATACATACATACATACAAAAAGTTTATAACCCAGTTTTAACAGATGTTACCAGTTTATCACATTCAATTATTATTTTCTCTTTTTGAAACAAAATATTGCTATGCATCCTAGGCTAGCCCTGAAGACCTAAATTCACTACGTAGCTCTGATAGCCATGAACTCGCAGCCATCCTTCTGCCTCAGCCTCGCAAGTGCTGCAGTTACAGCTATGTGCACCATCCCCGAGTTCAGTGACTTTTGGAAAGACATATAATGCTACAATTACAGAATCTTGGCAGGCAGTTCAGTTGGAGGGTGCGTGTCTCACGTGCATGAAACCCTGGTACCACACAGTCTGCATGACATGGGATGGTCGTACAGGCCTGTAATCCTAGCGCTCATGAAGTAGAGACAGGAGGCCCAGAGGGCCATGGTCATCTTGACTATAGAGAGAGTTTGACATCTGCCTGGGATGTATGAGGTCTTCTCTCAAAAAACAAAACTGAACAAAACAGAAGTCCTACAATTATAGAATTCCCATGTTCTTGTTCTCATCAAGAACAAGAACTATTTTTGTATATGGTTGGGTGTGTCAGTGCACACTTGTGATCTTAGTACTGGGTGGCTGAGGAGAAAGGTCACAAGTTCAAGGCCATCCTGAGACCAAAAAACAAAAAGGTTTTTATTGTAGATGTATAGAGCTCTAAACAAATGTATATCACATGTAGTATTGTTTTTATATTTAACATCTGCATAAAGTGTAAACTATATTTCTTTTTCTACTTCAACTTTTATTGCTTTTTAATTGTGTGTGTGTGTGTGTGTGTGTGTGTGTGCATGCACACTCTCAGAGGCCCAGAGGACACTGGCTGTCCAGCTCTATCACCCTCTACTTTGTTTGTTTGTTTATTGGTTTTTTGAGGCAGGGTTGCCTTGTGTAGCCCTAGCTGTCATGTAAATAACTTTGTAGACCAGGCTGGCCTTGAATTCACTGAGATCTGCCTGTCTCTGCCCCCCAAGTGCTGGGATTAAAGGCGGTTAAGGGCACTGCCTGCTATTTGAAGTCTTGAGTTCAATTCCCAGCAAACCCCATGGTGGCTCACAACCATCTGTAGTGAGATCTGGCGCCCTCTTGAGGAAAAGACCTGGTCAGCCGTCCTCATCAATTTAGACCATGAAACCCAATATGGACAAGATCAACAGAACCACCATATACGGGCTACCCATGCCTGCTTCAACATTGCCAGGGCAAACATTTCATTCATTCAAGGTCTACGCATTCAACACACAGCTCTGGTAAGCAGCTCGGGAGCCCCTGCAGAGCGAGGGTAAGAATGGTGAGATTGTTCCTGTCACCCAGTCCCCTCCCCGTGCATCCTCTCAGAGGTGACCTCTGGTGCCATAAATCAATTGTCTCTATTTTAAACTTAGTGCTTACTTATTTAGAGACAGGATCTTAAGTATCTTCAGCTGTATCAAACTTCTGATCTTTCTGCTTCCACCTCCAGAGGGCCAGGGCCCACAGGAGTGTGCCACCGTGCAGTTTAACCGGTGCTGGAAATGGAACCTAGGGCTTCCTGCATGCTAGGCAAGCACTCTACCACTGAGCTGTATCCCCAGCCTGTTTCCCCATCACTATCATAGCCGTGAGTTTCATCTGTGTCACTGCGGAAAGCTGTGGATCTCCCTTTAAGGATGATATACAGTCCTCTGTTGGATCACTGCAACTAATGTCCTCAGCACTGATGGATAGTAACACATTTTCAGTTTGGGCTTATTATGAGTAATGCTGACATAAGCCTGCATCCTGCCTGAGCATCTGTGAGCATCAGATAACTGGACCCAGAAGCCAGCTGAGATGTTTAATGAGAACATATGAAGGACTGTGTCTAGCGGCTACTCAGGGCCGCTGTGCAGGAATCTTATACCCACATTAATGGCATGGAGCCTGCCAGCAGCTGGCCAGACCAGTTGGAGACCTGAGCCCCACCAATCGGGTGCCAAGTGTAGAAGCTAACTCGATTCAGGAAATAACCAGGCTAGCTTAAAGATAAACAATTATATTTTTATTTATTTTAAGGGGAAAACTCATGAAACCGGAAGGAGAAGTCCAAGCTCAGTTGTGCAGTGAGGGAATCACACACACACACACACACTGAGAGAGAGAGAGAGAGAGAGAGAGAGAGAGAGAGAACCTGGGCTTGCAGCTGATTTTTCTCCAGGTCCCAGAAAGCCACACCCTAACTTGGTCCCACCTCTTAAAGATAATTGGTTAACCAGGCTCCCCCATCACACCTGCAGTCTCTTGGGTCTATTTCTAGGTGTGAACCTGCTGGTCCACCATGGCACAGGCATAAGATGGGGAAAGAGTGCACTTCCACAAAGCCCAGGACGAGGCCCACGCTTTTTCCCCATGTGTCCCACCTCTTCCACGTTACCCTCCCTCCGCAGTTCACAGATGCTCTAGTGAACTTCTCTCTGCCTCTCTCAAGCCTGTTCTCCATGTTCTAGTCCCTCTGCCAGCCCTCACTTGGCCCGCCCTCTTTCCAGAAGTCTGTCCCTGTTTTTCCTCCATGCTGCCGCTCAAGTGGTCACCAGGCAGCTCTCCCGTCTTTTGACTGCGGTGGGCCCTCTCATTTTCTCTGGACTGGAATTCGTCAGAGCTGAACAAAGCTACATCAGCTGCAGGAGTGAACTGGAAGGACAGGAGCAGGTGGCCCGGCTCTCCGCATACGCACCTGTATGTCACAAGGGACATGTGTGTCCCTCCAGCACATGAAAGCTATTAACTGACTCTGTAATAAGTCGGCGAGAAAATCGGAACCCTGGAAGCTAGATTCCAATTGACAAAGTTTTCTTCAACTAGTTTTCAAAATATTCTCCTTAAGAGTCACTCGGTCATGGGACAGATGTTTAGTTCAGACTGGCTGTGTGTCAGACATTAGTCTCAGCTCTGGTGCTGTGTGCGACGGAAGCAAACCAGGCCACCTCCCGGGCACTTAGAAAGGTTGCGCTCTGGTGTTTTGGCAACATCACTACTTCTTTTGTTGTGATGGTGGTGGTGGTAGTTTTGTTTTTGTTTTTTTTCCAGACAGGGTTTCTCTGTGTAACAAAGTGAGTCCCAGAACTCCCTTTGTAGTCCAGGTTGGCCCCGACCTCACAGAG